TTCACAAGCATTAGAAGAAGAAATAAGGCATTGATTCGCCAATGTTCACATACTTTCTCCTTCCAGTTATTCGCATTGTGTTTCAGCTGGACATCGGCGATCTTCTTCGCATCCACGGGATTCTTCTTCGAATCCACGGAATTCTTCAAATCCATGGGATTCTTCTCCTTCACAACTTCAGCGACTGCTGGTGCAGTTTTCTACGGATATGCGAAAAGGTAAAATTGTCCAGGACTAACAAAATTAGTGAAAAAATCCCTTACAGAACCAACTCTGGGACTTTGATTCGATCTCAACATTGCGTCCCTTTCTTTTATACGTTTCTCCCAAGATTTGAAATAACGCGCAAGATCTTCCACTTCTTCAGCATGACGCCGAGCCCTCACCTGTGCACGCATGGCGGCCTCTGCCATTTTCAAAAACTTTTCCTGCGAAAATGCGTTCGAACTACGACACCCACGTGCATTAATTCCGCTTGGAACCCAAGCAATGAACATTCTTCTATGGAATAATACCATTGTAACACCGAGAGATGCATTTCTGGTCTCGAAAGTTCTTCACCTTCGGAGTGACAATGGTGGAAAATATATGCTCACAATGCGGCCACGCAAATTTTGAAAAATATTCGACAAAATTAAAAAGTGCACCATCAACAGCACAGCAAAATCGCTATTTTCAAGAAAACCGAAGAAAGATTAGGTAATAACTTATCCCAAGAACGGTTGATCACGCTCGACCGAACTCAACAGCGAAGAAGCCCAGTAAGACCGAAGAATTCGATCCCAAAGAAGCAGCAATTTCCCCTATCTGATAACCACAGTTTTTGCTTTTAACGCGAAACGCCTTGAAAATCCACGAATTCACTGCCCGATCAACAACGGGTTCCGCACTTATGTCACCATCGCTCTTGTTGTTTGGGGTGTCTATGTCTACTCGTCCTTCGGACGAGAGGAATACTTCGACTCCATTTTTGGAAGCATCCAGTGGGCAACGTAGTTTCAGCACCATGCCAAAAGACTGGTCAATAGGATCGGAAGAAGAAGAACTTGATATCGGGGAGATCAGGTTATCCGGAGCCAGTTTGTAAGCGTAACGGATGACGACTGGCAGAGAAAGGTCGAAGTCGCACACAAAAATTCTGCAACATTCAAGGATTCCACGAGTGCCAACACCAATTATGTCAACGAACTTTCCTAAGCCCTCATGCGAATACAGTACAGTACTGTATTACCACATGAACTCCAAAAGATTCCTGAAGGCAAAATTATTCGATTCATTTCTAAAACAAGGATCGTCGAATTGTTGCTCTGGTCATCTCTCGTGATTCAATCAACTTATTTTACAAGCACTGTGCACCTGAAATTTAAACTGAAAATGTCAGGAGTAGTCAGGTGGGAATGCAATTTTTGGGTGAACAAGGTTGCATCGTTTGTAAGTTCCTCAGGTTTAAGCAACAAGATACACAGCAGTGTTCCCCAAACCGTGGTCCGCGAAAATTTTCTACAGCCTAATAAATTTATCAGAATATAGCGATGAAAGACGTTACAGCATCTTTATCTGAAATTTAGGCATGACAATGGCAGTGAAAATTGTCTCATGAAAAATAAGTGCTGATTTTTCTCCCAACAAATTTTCCCTTGATGAAATAAATATATTTTAATTTCTTGTTATGAGAAACCTTTCTACAAGCATACTTTTCTATGTTTTGAAAACATGCCCCTTCATGCCATGCCATGCTGCTTCATTGGTTAATTTTATTTTTTGTAAAAAAAAAAACAGAAAAATTTTAAATACCTGCTATGAAGCAAAACGTACCTGCTATGAAGCAAAAATTTCATGAAACTTCGCAGGTCCGTGGATTTTTCTTTCTGGAAATTTGCTGTTCCGCAAGAGAAATGTTATGGAAATGTGTTGGTCCGTGGGCCCAAAAATGTTGGGGAACACTGCTTTACAGGATTGTAACAATTTCTCGCAGTACTTCATGATCGCTTAAATATAACGCGATTGGAACTTCAGCTGATTCTACTTTTCGATAAAACTTTTCCACTGTCCATTTATTTTACTACACTTTCAACATTAGACTTCGAGGAATGATAACTGGTTCTAAGAAAAGCTGTTTTTTTCCTGATCAGGGCAAGATTAGCATCAACTATGTTTTCCAGCTCCACAAAACAAGCTTTTTTCAAGGGATGCAAGTTCGGGTTCCAGAGAAAAAAAAACCGCAGACTTGATACCAGGAAACCTCACAGAACCTAGATGATTACTGAATGTAAAAAAGTATTACCTGATGAAATCGGGGTTAAAGCCATCAACATTATTGAGTTTCAAGCAGGAGCCGCCTTGGTAAGCGTCGTCGTCATATGACTGTAAAGCTTCCAGTCGCTGAACCTGAGCTTTCACATCGCCCCAATTAGGATAGGTCGCTTGGGCATAGGGAACGATTTGCATCATCGTTTCGTCAGCAATCTTCGCGGACTCCGGACTAACCCACAATGGCTGATACTGCTGTAGACTCAAATTCCACCAAGGGCCACCGGAGGCAACGCCGTTTTTGTACATTTTCTTCCCCACACCTCGGCAGAATGATGTACGGAATGGTAACTTTTTTGGTCCCTGCAAATATCACGAATT